ACCATCTTCTCGATTGATTTCTTCTGGGATTTCATTTTTTTTGGAGTACATGATATCTCTGTCTACCAACCCCAGCTCGATAAAAACAATGAGTGAAAAATAATACAGCACTGTGCCGTGTGCATGCATAAAAAGTACGTATATCTAATCTCTCTATTATTTCTGTTTCTAAATAAAACATTTGAACGGTTCAAAATGGGAAATATGACGATATAAATATGACGCTAACAGATGGCGCTAGCGTAGCAGGTTTTAGTTTGACACAGAGACATTTCTCCGTCTTTGTCTTCCCGTGACCACGGCTGCTGCAAAGCATTCGAAACGTCGGGCCGTAGTTAAAATAATGTTTAAATAAGTTAAACTAATATATTAAGCGTTTTGCTTAAATGCGTACTACTCTAAACTACAGACGTTATTTCTATTTATTTAACGGCCTCGACTTGAGTGGAATTATTCATCGATTCCGTGCCAAGATTTGTAAAGTTAATGATATTTCGTTTATACCCGCGACGATGAAATCTTTTTTCAATTAAGGCAACAATCTTCATAAATCAATTTCCCCTCGAATTGAATGTCAATAAGTAGGGTCGGTCCTTAAATGACACGCTGTAAAATAAAACTTTCCGGAGGGCACAAAGTTCTGCGCAAAAAGAATATTTACATCAATTCTCTTCATTATGTTTAAAGGAATAATCATGGGTTCCTTCCTATTCCACTCTCTCGATTGAGTTTTATTTGAATATTTTTTTCACCGTCTCCAGAGTTCGTCTTTGCGCTACAAAAGGAAGTTTTTATTAGCATCTTAATGATTTTACGGCGAGTCCCCGGTTACAACAGCCTTTATGTTGTCAGATTTTCTTAAGCGTTTCGTAGACGTTTTTTTTCATCTTACATTATTAAAGTTTTCATTCCGTCGCTTAATGAAGCTCATTTCTTCTGTTCGCCCGAGCCTTGATTGCCTTTGTTTTGCATAAATGCAAGATTTCTATTGATTTGTCTTCGCGAATCGAGTAAGTTCGTAGGTTTAGAATTATTTTGTTAATCCTTCTTGTATTTAATTGTCTTTAAATAGAGACGATTCAAATCCGTTTTTATAAAAGAAAGTATTTATATTTCACTCTACCACCTCTCGGGCTATCCCCATCAATGGGTTGACACTGTATCTCAATTGATTATAGTAATAGCACGGAACGCTGCGGATGCCGGTTTAAATAATCAGAAAATCGATTTTCAATTTAACTTTTAATATAATCTTTATTAAAAACGCAAGAGACTGACTCTGTAGCTATGTATATATGCTTATGTGCAAAAAAAATATCAAATACCCTCACTTTGCCATCTCTCCCATTAACTATCCCAGATAGTCCGTCTCACGCACCACAAAACAATAATCGTCCGGAAAATCGGGCGAAGCTGTGTGTAACGTTATGAGAGGAAGGTCGTCGTTTTTCTCCGCTCGCAATTGAGTCCGAGATCTTGCTTTCTTTTTAATTTCCCTACGGTCCACTAATGAGCTCCCTGCAGAGGCTCGGAGCCGTTATCTATGATATTCTTGAGGTTGATGCTTATTGTGCGTGTCACTGATGACTTCCTTTTTTATTATCCTCTCGAATACAATTCAGCGGTCGTCCAAATGAGTTCTTCTCATTTGCCTTGCGCTTTTTTATTTCTCTCGGCGGCCGTTTGTCTTGTGTCAGAGCTTTGTTTCTTTTAATTTTGGTTCTGATTGAGGTAATTTTGGTTTTTCAGGCTGTTAGTCTCTCTCGCTATTATTTTGTTATAATCGAGAAGGACTGATAAGCATGGGGTTTACTCGGTGGTATGTGAAATACTCCAACCATATAACATCTAAATAAGTTGCAATGTCGACCTATTTTAGCTTTGGATATTCGGAATTCCAAAGTCTGAAACCGAAACGCGACTATACTTGACGGTTCTTTTTATCGTAACGGATATTTCTGCCACCCACTTAAAATCCAGTCTTCCAGAAGTCCAACATGTTTCAAAAAAAAGAAAAGCTAACGAGTCCATCAAACAAAAAAGAAAAACTCCGGCATTTTGCATTGAGTAGTTTACAGTTACAGATGTTAATATTACAGTCCGTTTGCACACATTCTGATTAAACTATCTGAGTATTAACAACGTCGGCTCGCACTTGAAATCGTTGAAACTGTAATATTTAACCTTGGGGATACAAAACACGTAATATGATAGTTATTTACACATCGGCCGCGCGACAAATCAACCGACTCCGCCTCCGTTTATCTATTAAAATGAAAGATTATAGGGAGCTAAGCATACACCAAATAAGCCGGTGTTATTTTCAGTGGATTGTGCAATATTGTCACAGTCCCAATAGCGGGGCAATTAGAGACGTGTCGCGCGTGGCGGGCACGTGTATGCTGGGACGAGGGACGCTGTAGGCGCACGCGACGCTGCTACATTACTCTTACCATTATCCAATGTTTATACTGGGCATGCTGCGAGTATTAGTTTATGACTGCGATATGTTTTATCGTGTATTATCATCTTTCTCGGAGATCGAATCGTTAATTTCAAGCCATCAAATGCCATGAACACCGCGAACAATTTTATTTATATAGGGAGTTAAATTGACCTAATGTGAGGCCGCTAGAGATAGAGTAGCCTAACTACAAGTTTATATCTTGACTTTTTTAAAGCCAAAAAAAGTTATTCTACAAGATCTCGGTGACCGAAAATTGTTAACATAATTCTTACACCAGTAATAGCACAAAAGATCTTTCCCGTAAGTTTATTGCGCATTTCTATTTTCCTTTTTATTGAAAATCATATTTTTTATAAGGCCACTCTGCGTCTAGCATAATAGCGTTCAATATTTTTTTTTAATTTGACTCAATTATTTTGACAGTACAGAAAGACAAATATTTTCCAAATTCGTCATTTACAGACAGTATTTAGACATTTTTATATGTTCATGATATGCAACACAGTAGTGCAATTACAGATTATGACATTCTTTCTACAAACAATTATGCTAAGGTACGAAATAGATGAATAATTATACAGTTAGTCCTAAGACATAAAACTTTATAATACAAGTACAATTTATTACGCAGAAACATATGCATTATTATGCAGAAACGTAATAGTATATATACACCGAATTCCTATTAAAATCGTTGAATTAAAAAATATCACATTCCGTGTAACGAATTAGATTACAGACACGAAACTCAATGATTAATAAATGGAATGCAACAGAAGGGATATCGAGCAAATCTCTACTGAAGAATTCACTTCATTTAAATATCGCATTTTTCTTAAAGATTATACCGTACGACAGCTATAAAAGAAAACAGGAGGTCCTCCGCCCCTCGATAATGCGTCGAGCTCGAGGAATTTTTATTTCGTTCAAATCTCTTCTGACATAGGTATATTTTTGCAAGATCGCTACGAGGTTTTAATACCCGATTTTATTTAAATTCGTTTAGGCGCTGTGGGCGACTGCACCCCGAAACATTTATCGCTTGGCCGTGCTTGTATTTATAAACAGTTGTACTTTACGGTAGACAAATGTTATTTTCAATTTTACGAGAAGGATAAGGGTTTGGTCTGTCGAGTTATGTTTTAAAGCGCTAGTATATGAAATAAACTGGGCAACTACTGCTTCGAATAGAAAAAGTATTTTTGTGTCGATTGGAGCATACATCTAAGAAGGCTAAAAAAATAGACCGCAGCCAATAGGAGCGAAGAAACATAGGGAAATGTAGAAACAACGTGGAAAATTGTTCATCTTGCGTGAGCTGCGAAAACCATCCAAGATACCCAAAAATATGTATAAAAGATTTTTTTTATATAATATAAACATTTTTCGCGACCGTATCCGTCTATATTTGAATAATAAGTCACAGGAAGTGTTGTTATGGGAATAAAATTTTGTCAAAATATCTCATATAGCAAATATGTATGTATAATAAGCCAGGTATGTATAAATACTGATTTATTTAACGAATAACTACTATATTAAAGCAGGATGAGAAGAAAAGCAAATCGATTCCCCTTAAAACTCGCCAGGTCATCATTCACTTAGTGCAACACGTCACTGTAGCTGACAGCATTCAGTTTGTTCTTCCCGGTCCCTCCGAAGATGAGGCTCTGCGCTACGGGTGATCATTCTTCATTTGTACTCTAAGCTTTCAATATTCGTCTGACCACTCTATCAACATAATGTAATAGTTTATGTGGTCGCATTACTTTTATTATGTTTCGTAGGCCCAAGACGACGATGACGCTAAGAAATGAATTATGAGTGTATTTAAGTAGTTAACTTTGTTATATTTGAAAACTTAAAGTATTGAGCTAGAAAACTTTAATATTTTAACATGTTGTTGCAAATGAAGAAAAATAAATACGGTTGTGGATGCCGATCTAAGTCAATTTTTAATTTATTGATCGTGTGTCAAAAATAATTAGGCATAATGGTGCGTGATAGTAGATTATTTAAATTTTATGGAAGTGACATTAAAACATGTACTTAGAATGTGTGTAGTAATATAATCTTGCAATATCTTCGGTTAAAAAAGAAACTTTGTCCCTGTATTCAATAGACTTAACATAGTTTAAAGGTAGTTAGGAAGAAGTTACTGAATGATTCTCTTCTACGATAGAGGAGGATAGATAAGCATGGGGTATCTAAACAACCGACATTTAGGCTTTGGATACTCGGAAATCCACAGTCTGAAACCAAAACGCGATAAAACTTGACGGCTTTTTCATCTGTGGTGGTTTTTCGATATTCCTAACAGAAAAATTATACATTTATTAGAAATTTGACCAGGTGGGGATCGAATCCACGCTTCGTTGAATACTAGAATTACATTGCTATCATTACATCGACGAGCCCGTCAAAGCATCTTCGGTTGCAGAGCTTTCTTCAGTTGAGAAGTACTACGTTATCTAGCTAATCTGAGCATGACAAAAATATTGCTATACTTCGTCATCGCATTCCGGCTTCTATCTCAATGAAATTCACCGAGAAATTTTTCCTTTCCATTTATTTCCATCGCGTAAGACTTTTCGCATGAGGCGAGTTCTGTGTTAATATATGTGCCCGGAATACCGTGGTCATATATTACACCGACCTCTGCCAGGCCGGACATAACAATCCTCGATTTGCTATAATATCGGTCTTGTGTCCCTCTCCGTCGGGGCAGGCAGCGGGTTGGAGCAAGCGAGGCGAAGTCCGGCGGAAAACGCGGGGTGGCAGCGTACGTGCCGCGTATAATAAGCATTTCATGCACGGGGTGCGGGGATATGTAGGTACCATTTTCCGTAAGTCGTGTACCTAACCGGACCGTACATTATGGACCGAGGGTCAGCGCCTCGTCCTCTATCCCTCTCCCACGCGTAGAGCCTTCTCCAGAATAATTTCACGTGAAATATCGCGGGCTAAGCAACAATTTTTATTAGAAACGTTTTGTTCTTTAATTTTGGATATGGCGGCTCGTTTCGTTTATTCACTTACTTTCCACGATTTATGGCTAAGTTAAAGTTTAACTCTGCAAATATGGGTTGTTTTGATAGCGGTTGCTGAATTCTGTATCTATAGATACGGTCAGGCCATAAAACGGAACAATAAAAACCCAAAAAACTATAAATTTGAAGCAATAGACGAAAAGGTTTGAACGCGTCTTATCAATTCCCGCCACGCGAAGAGCAGAGAACGAAGTAAATATAATATAAAACTCATATATTTTTTCCATGTTTACGATAAATGGTAATGCTATATTAAATGCATTTATTGTAATTAATATATCTGCCTCGAAATGTTATATCACAATAAAAGACCACTAATCCATACTGGAACAGCGTGGTGGGTCTTAAACCATCACAGGACGAAAGGTAACCAAGATTATTTAAAATTAAAACTTTCACAAATACATAGGATCATGTCATCGTAAATATACGTTATTTGAGCTCCACATACAAAGGAACATTGTTTACAAGTAATCAACACTTGGTGGACAGTTGTAAGAGGGTCAGAGGTAAGTAAAACAAATAATAGACAAGTCCAGTATCTCCTAGTACGGGGGTTCTCTTAAAGGACAAGGAAATGCGGCTTTGTGGGAGCCACAATAGTTCTTTATGCATAAATAATGTCGTCTAATTGAAACTGAATTAAGACAATGACCGCTGTGAATTGTCTGTTATAATTAAAAGACCTTGTTAGAATTGAGAAAGACGAATGCGTCTCAATTACTTAATTAATTTATTTAAGAAGAACAAAATAAAATACAACTTTTAAATTAATTAATCAATTAGTTTAAAACGCGAAATATATGAGGTAAACTTGTTTGCAACTTATTTTTAACTACGGCCCGACGTTTTGAATGTCACAAGAGGACTCCCCGTCGTTCCGCAGTTAAAAATAATTTATACAAGTCTAACTAATATATTTCACATTTTAAACCGTGTGTTTCTTATGTGTACTACTAACTACATACAGTATACAATAAAACTTAACCCTAAAATCTATTTGATATCCTATATAATTTGCGCGTTGCTGTTACTACGAGTATAATATTTAAAGAAATTTGGTGATAGCAAAGAGTGTCGGCGAGTTTGTTGCCCATTCTACGCGTAGTTGAACTAGAGGTTCGGTAAGTTATAGAAATTGAAGTTCATAATTAAGTAATTCACTCAAGAATAGTTGATTTTTGAATATTCATTAAATAACGTTTGAGTACAATTAAGATATTAAAGTAAACCTTTAAAATTGTATTTCTTGCTAAGAAAACTATTTATAATTCTTGAGTGCGATCGGGTGCACTTACCCAGTCGATTCATTATCATTACAGCCTCAGTCGACGGAGATATACGGTACAGCTCCCTGATTGAGCCCACATTAAAAATTACATACAACTTTTATTAGGGGCATATGAAGCTCTCTTTCTTTCCATTCGCCTCACGCGCATCAAATATTTACTCAGACGGCGCGGTACGAAACGAAGTACTTAGATTTAATAGTTTCTTTGATTCGTTACTTAATTTTAAAGGGACGAGCGTCGTAGCGGTCGCCTGAGGGTCGAATAAATATGTCCCAAAGAGTTAAGTGTGGGCGAAGTACGGAGCGGGGACCGCGTCCGACGTTTGCTTCTAGTAGTGTTGTTGCACCACTTATTACACAAAGTTCCCTTAAAGTTTTCCTCGACACTCGGGCGAGTTTAATTTACTCGATAGTGTAAATAAAGCGGAGTGGGAAGTTTCGCGACGATGTGGCCCCGGGGTGCGACGCGACGCCGGTGCGGTCGACTGATAATAACGTGACTTCCTTATTAATCGAGAACGACAAATTTTAACGACAAGAATTAATGAATCTCGTTACATGGGTTAATCCCTCGCTCGTAAAGTGTATGCTCGGCAGTTAAGGTGTTCGGGCGCCCCACCCCCCCTCGCTGCCTCTTTTATCTTGTCACCTTGCCTTTTATTGCCGGTTTAATTATAAACATACTAGCTGACCTGGGAGACTTTTTTTGCCGTATGAAAATCGACCAAATTGAATAACAAAAAACATATACATACTGTCCCGGCCTTTCTTTATCTTAATTGAAAAATAATAATTTGATCTTGTAGTTACTGACTAGTAGACTGCTAACCTGTAACTATTATCTACAAAATTTATAATTACGGGACTACTGAGAGGTCAAATAGAAGTATGTTCTACTCTAGTATTAACAATAAAAAAAATAGTTTAGTGAACGAGGTGTTAATCGATTTCTTTAGGTATGTGATACATAGATTTATCAGAAAAATATTAAGTTTAAAAAATAAAATCAAACCTTCAAGCTAATTTAAATTTATAGTATAAAAATAACTATACAATACGTTCCCGAATCGGCGAGCTAAAGTTAGGATTGTATATAAACTAATACATTTCGCCTTTTTCCACCGTTAAAAGTGTTTTACTTAAATAACTAAAAAACTTTAAAAAATAGGTATATATTTAAATAAAACACTTTAACGGTTTAAAACGCGATATATTAGTTAAACTTATTTGGAAATAATTTTTAACTTCATAGTCTCCCCGTGACCGCGGCTGCTGCAAAGCATCCGAAACGTCGGGCCGAAGTTAAAAATCATTTCCAAATAAGTTTAATTAATATATCGCGTTTTAAACCGTTAAAGTGTTTTATTTAAATGTGTACTACTCGCGTAAACTATAGACAGTATTTAAACAGTAAATCATGTGATTACGTAGCCGCTTTATAATTTCATATATCTTACTATAAACACGTGTTTGAAGTAAAGTTCGACTCAAAATGGGTTCTACTTGTAAGTTGTAGGCCTGTAAGATGAAACGTGTGCTAGCGGCAAGTTGAGTGAGGGTCCCTCAAATATATCGTCCAGTTAACGAGCATGTGGAATGGAACTTTATTGTAATTGCTTTTTGTAAGATTGGAATGGAGTCATTACAGACCGTCCTTAAGACATGACCCTCGATAAAGTTTCTTACGCAGTTATTATAAATATGTAATTGTATAATGTATTTAAGATTTAGAATAACATTAACACTTTTTATAGCTTAATAAAAACGAATGCTGCAATATTAATAAATAAATAAATGTCTATGATCATCCGTTAAAAATCTATATCTTTATGGTACGACTCATACGAAAATTTATAACAAACATCTATATCCTCACAAGGTGTTTGTTTTTTTTATAATAAAGGAGACCAGACAAGCATGGAGGTCACTTGAAAAGTGAAATACTTCAGCCATATCATCTAAACTAGATGCCCTGTCGACCTTTTTGACTTTGGATATTCGGAAAACCATAGACTGTAATTGTAACGCGATTGTACTGGACGGCTTTTTCATCAGTGGACGGTCGTTTGTAACCCGGACGAAATTTTGTAATGTCTACCACCCATTTAATATTTAGGTTTGCAGACGGAGTCCAACAAATTTTAGAAAAATTATAAATTGAATAGAAACATTTTGATGGTAATCGAACCCACGACCCGATGATTGTTAGCCTTACATTGCCACCATTACACCAACGAGCGAGGCAAAATATGTATATTCCTTTTTCAAAATAGCTCTGTGAGTCCTGCAAGGACATTTGTTCTAATAAAGAAAGGTGCGAGGTTTTCAATTAGGAGCAAATGAAACGTTGTTATTGAATTCTATCAGCGGCGGATAATGCGTGTGTATTCATCAGGTGAAGAGGCGTGTGCCACATTAGGGGCGCTGCGGCTTCAAAGCCAGAAGACTGATTATGTCTATCCGCAATTTCTCTCCAGCCCTATTCGCGCGAGCTAAAACTAGCGAGTTTTCCACCGCGCTATTAAGCGGTCGCTTTTACATTTGTCCTTATAATGGAAACTCGCTACTAATTAATTTGAAACGAAACTCATTTATGTCGAAATGCGTGTCTATTACGTGATGATTGCGTATTATCTGTCTTTTGCCTTGACTCATCCTCCGATTCAGTATTGAAGTTGGGGAATGTGGAAAATTATACGCGGTCCAGTTACAAGCCCTCACCCCATTAAGTAAAGGCGAGCTCATTCTCAGCAAGACTAATCAAATAACAGTCTCCCCATCGTCCTCACCCCCTCCCGGCTAGTGGTCATCTCTCTTATCGATTGTGGTGGAATTCGTGCACAGAATGCGATATTTCCCAGCGTTCTACACACACTTCGAGACAATGAAATGAAAATAATGTATACGTTTATTTGAAAGTGTGGTCGCCGCTCTGTGTACTAGTTTGAGATGAAACTTGTTATATAGATGGATTGTAACAATTGCAAAGATTAGTTAGCTGGTTGCCTGCGCCTAACGTAAACTAATCTACATTGCTTGTAACCGCATCCATTGAGCCGCTGCATCAGGCGTTGTTTGAAGTAGATTTGCATTCTGCATTTGTGAAATTGTAACTGGAAACATGAATATTACATACGTTGTTTTCATTTAAACTATTTTAACTGGATTCAATATACATTTGGTTCCGTGCTTGCTCGTCGTTTTTACTAATATTGTTTTTTTTATAAAACATTTCAATAATCATTCTCACTGTTTTTAAACGTGTATTGTACCGAATATTAATAATATATACGAAGTTGTTTACGATGTTTTGTCTATAAAAATACTTATGAGTGCTGAGCAAATTAAATAAATACATAATTCGTAGTAATTATTAAGACTTATTAATCATTCACGTATCTACCCACACAATACAAATAAATTATATATCAACTTTTTACTAAGGAAATGTGTTATTCGTTCAAT